GATTTTGTGATCGATTTCGCCTCTGAAAATCCAAAAGTTAAAATTATTTGAATCGCACCGCCTTAGCGGGGTTGGAGTTTTCTAATAGGTCTAAATCGAGTGAACTGTATTCTCTCGATTCTGGACTTGTGAGGTTCCTCACAGGTGGTGTTTACGACCCCCTGCATATGAAACCACTATGTTTATTTGCAACCATTGATTGTTGTTCTAACTGGGATTTTGCCTGTAATCGTCACCGCGAAGGACCGAGGTCGATCAGCCATTGTCACTTTAAATATAGAACATAATCTTGGGCTATATACCCAGGTTTCAACCGACGACGCAGTATGAATGGAGTAAATCACTCCGGAACTGATAGCCGGCAGGCGATTGAGCATCACAGGTCTCATTTATTTATATGATTTTTTGGTGCTTTTCAGACCCGGTTCTCTTGTCTTAATCTTTGTGCGGGCTTGGTTGACGTAAGAAGCGCGAGTTTTGTGGGCACCTTCGCGCTTACGCTTTGTGATCACCGTTGGTCTTGAGGTGATTAATATCACGACCACTTTTACAGTAGAGTCACCACTACAGCCCGTCAGTAAGTATTTATGCAGAATACAACTTATTTTAGCATTTGAGGTCGTGCCAATTGAAACCGCCTTCTGTTTCCTCGTCTCTAGCTCCGCATAGTAAATAGGACGCTGTCGTGCTTGTTGGCATGGCTTAGCCAATATTGTCCAGAGCAACATAGCCCCAGGTCGGGCTGAGATTCAATGCGATAGAAATAGTCGTCTGAAAAGAGACCTTTTCGTCAGCACCGGATGAGCTACTATGTATCAACGAACTCCCGTACTGTGATAGAGTCGTTTTAGAGTGGCAAGGAGGCGCAAAGCCCGACGTTGGCAAGGAGATTTCCTTCAACAAACAAAGACGCAAAAGTCCGAAGGACCTTGCTCTGGAAGATCAACATGAGAGAATTGCACGTTCCGCAGACTGCAAATTTTTTCAAAATCTTCCTATATTTGCGAGACGAGAAGGGATTTTCGTGATGAGGAAATGATATAATACTCCTCAACTTCGCCTGATCGGAGACTAGTAATTCAGAAGTCTACGTTCATGGCGACGCTCTTGATCGGGGATATGATTGCTGAGACACCCGATGAGCGCGGTCTCCGCGTAGGCATCCCACTCCGGAGACCTGCTGGCTCCACTGTGGTCGCCAGCTATGTTTGGTTCAAAAGTCGGCTGCTCGTGGAAATTCATCTCATCAACTTGTGATTACAACAAATTCGATAATGTTTCTTATAAAGAATTTTCCTAACACCAAAACAACATTACAACTCTTGAGAAACAAAGACACGATCGTCTATCAATCTCGTTCGTGGGACTTTGCCTGTGCCGGGAACGCTTTGCGTTACGTGACCGCCCGAGGATCCCACGATCGTGAAGAGGGGGCTTATGATTCTAACTTCGTATCGAAGTAGAATTGAAACGATATCTTATCGAAGTAGAAGTCGTTTTCTTAAACTCAAGTCGAAGCTTAATTTCAAGGCGTTGCAGAAAAGAACTCAAGATCTATCTCCTGTCATGCCTCTGCCTGAATGCTCTAATGCCGGATCCTCGTCAGAAGTGACCCAGGGGGTATTAAGCCTCAGGTCAGTACTGCAAAACTATACAATCTGAGAAGTCAGTACGGCGGAGAACAGATGTTTACTGTCTCGCGGCGGACAGGCGTTTGCTGTCCCCTCTCCGCACAGAACCCGCGAGACAATAAATTTGCTGTCTCGCCAGCGAGAACAGTAAATCACTGTCTCGACCAATGGCAGTCTTCTCGCTGTACACGCTATTCTTCACTATCTTTCAAGATACACCATCCGATTATCATATTTGGCCACGTTAGTGCATACCGTGATTTTCGGCATGAAGTGTTTTCATCAACGTCCCTTGCAGTTAATGGACAGGTGTAGGGAGTTACAATGTAGTTTTGACCTAATTTCAACACTGTCTCGCTGGCGAGACACCAAAGACTTGGTCTCGCTGCGATGACAGCAAAGATGTCTCGCTGGCGAGACAGCAAGATCTGTTCCGCTGGCGAGACAGTTCATATGTAATTTGTTTTGATTTTTTCAAAACAGTATGAAATCCTTTCTTGTGAATTTTTGAGTGATCTTCTCTATGCTTGGGTTATCTATTAGCATTTTTTGACGCCTACAGAAGCAAGCTATGATTGCACAGTCATCGATGGAATCTGAGTTCTTCGCACTCTGTGCTGCAGGAGATGAAGCTGAGTGACTCAGTTGTATTCTCCGAGACCTTCCATTGACAGAATTGCAAGGCGTAATTACAATCTATTGTGATAATCAGGCAACGAGTGATGTGGAAGCGAACTCGTTGTTCAATGGAAAGAAGCGGACTATTCGTCTGAAGTATGGCTATTTGAGAGAACTCATTTGCCAAGGAGTCATCTCGGTGATTGACGTCCGGTCTTCAGAGAATGTGGCTGATCCTTTGACTAAAGGTCTGAAAAAGAATATAGTCGAAAAGACGTCTGCTACAATGGGTCTTAAAGTTTTGTGAGTCTTACAAATACTTACCATGTTCATCCAATTATTAGTTCAAAGCTTATACTACTAATAATAAAGATATCTGGTTCAAAAGTCAAGTAATATTTGCAAAGTTTGGTGAGTCTTACAAATACTTACCATTTCGTCAAGTTATTAGTTCAAAGCTTACGCTACTAATAACAAGATGATTGGTTCAAAAGTTAAGTAAGATTTACAAGTGAAATCCTATCATGTAAAGAGGTTGGCTCTTAAGCCTTAATAGGTCCAAAGCATTTCGGATGCGGGATGTTGGATAGGTAACATGCCTAAAGGACTCACCGATAATTCTATCATGTAAAGGGGATGGCTGTTAAGCCTTAATGAGTCCAAAGTATTTCGGATGCGGGGTGTTAGATAGGAAACACGCCTAAAGGACTCGCCTAGAATCCTATCATGAGAGAGGATGGCTCTTAAGCCTTAATGAGTTCAAAGCATTTCGGATGCGGGATGTTTGATAGGAAATATGCCTAAAGAACTCACCTATGACTGGGTGGAGATTTGGCCGTCTCCTATGGTGTCTTGTGGAAAGATACCTAGAGCCCTAGCAGAAACTAGGACTAGCACAGGGCCATAAATGTGCAAAGGCAAAGGCAAATGTGGTTCAAAGTGAAAACTACCACAGATGAGTTTGATCTTGTGTGATCGCTGGATTTTAGACATGTGTTGGTTCAAGTCTCTACGACACCATGCATCTATCTTCTATTCAGTTGGTCTAAGGGGGATTTAAGTCCTTGCGACATCTACCTTATGCACAACGATTGAAACGATGGCACCATAACACGAAACTAGTTTAAAAACTTGTGGGGGGATTGTTGGATTTTTTTGGTCAAAACTGCTTTCCAAAATGAGTTTTCAAACTATATATATATTAACTACAAGTACTTTTCATAAATGCTTAGTAGCCTAGTGGAAAGTTTATGTTTTGGTGTTTCAAAAGGTTCATTGTTCGAGGCTTGCCAACGGCAAGCCGAGAAGTGTTTTATTTGAATTAAGCCCTCATAAGTTCTAGTGGGTCGTGGGTCGTGGGTCGTGGGCCGTGGGCCAATGGGCCGGGGATCGGGGCTAATCGGACTGAGGCGCTAAGTGGCGCTTTGTTAGGCGTACTTTGCACTTCGCACGGAGGCATCGGGGTGAGGTGGCTGCCACTTTGGTCGCCACGAAGGTTGCCTCGCAGGCTGCTTCGCAGCATGCGGACGAGCTACATATTCGCACGAGGGTGACCTTAGCGTTCTCGTAGTTTGACAAGGTTCGCTCGTTCGACGAGGTTCGTCTGTCATACGAGGTTTGCCTGTTTGACGATGTTCGTTCGTTCGACGAGGTTCATCTGTCATACGAGGTTCGCTTGTTGACGAGGTTTATCTGTCATACGAGGTTCGCCTGTTTGACGAGGTTCGCTCGATCGACGAGGTTCGTATATCATATGAGGTTCGCCTGTTTGACTATGTTCGCTCGTTCGACGGGGTTCGTCTGTCATACGAGGTTCGCCTGTTTGACGACATTCGTTTGTAAAACGAGGTTCGTCTGATTTGCTGAGACGTGACCCTCGCGTTTCGTAGCAACGCGTCCATTGATTATCTCGTATTCAGCAGTTACTGCATGCAGCAGTTACAACAGAATTAAGAGCAATTTAATGCATTGATGTTACAATCTTAATTGTCATTAAGAATTGTAACGGTCACATTAATTGCTAGTGACTCTTGAGCTGGCCTTAGAGGCCTATAAATAGCGCCCTTGGGCAGCTCTTGGTTGTGGCTGAAAATTCTCTCGCGAGCGTGGAATACGAACGTCAGTATAGAATACGAACGTCGGAATACCCACGCGAGCTTGGAATACGAACGTCAGATTGACGTTGTTGTTGTGCTGTTGTTGCAGAAACTGTGCCCGCAGGAACCCTGAAACCGAAAGGTTTTGAACTGAAAGGTTCTGAGATCGAGGAGATCTTTTGTCTTGACCGAAAGGTCTTACAGATCGAGGAGATCTTGACAGTACTGGGTTGGTGCACACCAGAGTACTGTACGAAAGGTCTTACAGATCGAGGAGATCTTGACAGTACTGGGTTGGTGCACACCAGAGTACTGTACTGCTGTTCCTGGAAGCAGTTTGGCCTTAGGATCCTTGCACCGGAGTAGGCCAAATATTGCTTTAAGCACAGCGTTTCACAAACGCACAGCAGTTAATTAAAAAAGTTTAAAATAACAGCACATCATTCTTCATTGTTTAATTCCAGATTTAACTATAATTTCCAACATGATATACTGAATCAGTTTTGAAAATACAATACACGGATGCAAAGTTGAGCATTTTTCCTTTACCACATATCCTGCACTGAGGAAAAGAAAGGAGAAAGAAAAAGGGACTTAAAACTCTTAAAAATCCATCTCTCACGTGATCTCTGCATGCCTATAAAGAAAAGCCCAAATTCTCGCTGAAGGGTAAAAACCCAAAAATCCCCAATCTGTTACAATCTCTCTGCTTGCATCAAAATCCTCAAAACCCTAGCCCCCGAGTCAAATCCACAGTACAAAGACCAGAGCTTTCATCGGAAACCCCAATGGCCGGAGTGGGACCGATCTCTCAGGACTGGGCCCCCGTCGTGGTCCGCAAGAAAGCCCCGAACGCTGCCGCCAAAAAGGACGAGAAGGCAGTCAACGCCGCTCGCCGGAGCGGCGCCGAGATCGAAACCCTAAAGAAATGTAACTCTACCCCTTAAATTTTAGGTTTAATTTTACCTAGATTTTTATATTCCTGAATGATAACTGAATATCTTTTTTGTTTAAATTACTGAAAATACCCATGAGTATTGCTGCTTCGCACATAATATGCATTAAATAGACAAGTAGGGTTTTCCGATGACAAAAAGGACCATATTTGCAGGATCTCATCGGTAAAACTGCGAGATAAACGCATATACTTCGCTAAATTGCTTACGGGTTATCAGAACCCCCACCGCCCGCT